GTGAGTCGTCGTCTTATGTGCTTTCACTCCTAAAGTCATTCCTAATGGACTGGAAAGCTTATATTTTGTTTCCTAATGAAGCACAATGCCCAACATCCTCCGAGCACGAGTTGCCTTGTGCTGCTTGGAGCTCTCAAACATGCACTGGCCTCGTCCCACTTTATGCTGGTTTTCTGCTCTTAATATGGAGCTTTTCAAAGCCTTGAGTGTCTCACAGGCCAGGCCTTGGAGCTGTTGAGATCCTCAAGCCTCAGCCTCGGCCTGTGAGTTGTTCCTCTGCGTTTGCCAATGGGTTGGAACAGAGACATTCAAGTCTTTAACGTGGGTGATTTAAGGCAAAAAAAAAAAGGGGATTTTTAACAAGGAGAGAAAAGTGAGGTGTGAGCAGGAAAGCATCATCTAATCATTTTTGTTCGGTCAGAAGGAGAGAATAAAAAGCTGGGGTGCAGGAGATGCAGGTGGGAGCAGTAGGCTGGGTGTCAGGTGGCAAACATCCCATTTCTTGAGTAAAAAACACTTTGTTTGTCCCATCTCTCTCCCCAGCTGAGGTGGGAGCAGGGTCCCAACTCTTGGCAGTGAGGCAGTAGCTGAGGGCAGACTGCTGCCAGTTTTGCTTTATCTTTACTATTTAATAAGACATTGATGCCAACTGGGAAGACTGGGAAGTTCCAACAAGAAAAGAGGAACCATAACTATTTAAAGACTTGCCTCAGCCTCTGGCACAACATCATTGCCAGCTCATCAGGCTGAGGGTCTCAAATGTGCCATCCAGCTACTTCCACCCTGTCCCACATGTTTGTTGAGCTTGATGTGAGCCAAGTCCTCAGTCTGGGTTGTGTCTCCACCTCCTTGCCTGACCTGCTCCCCTGCAGTGAGTCTTTTCATTAGAGAATGACTTTGTGCCTTAGCTAAACTTCTTTCCAAAACTACCATTTGGGCTTTGAGTGATGCACTCAAACCCAAATGAACAAGTATCCTTTGTGTAAAGGAAAGTTTCTCCCAGTCTCCCAACTCCTTGCCCTGGCTCTTTGTGGTGGTCTGGTTCTTTGGGTGCTTTTGAGGCAATTCTGGTTCTTTAATCTTTTCCATCCATCATTATTCCCATTACACACATCTTTGAGGTGTGGAAATGTCAGAGCACCAGTGCTGTGTCTACCACCACCAAAAGGCCTTCTCCATCCTCAAGAAGGTCAGTTAAAGATGCTCCTATTTTACCTGTGTTTTCCTGCTTTTCAGTGGGTCTTTGTGCCTGACTCTGAGCCAGCTGTTCTCAAACACAGCCTTAAAGAGTTCCTATTATGGTAGATTACAGTTGAACTTGATGATCTTAGGGGTCTTTTCCAGCCTAAGGGACCTTCTGGCAGCTTTCACATCTTGTCCTCAGGATTAGAATTGCTCCAGTCTTCTCAGAAAAACATTTAAGGAACTTTGTGCAGTCTTTAAACATCCAAGTGCCGGGGTAACGTCAACATTAGCATTTTGAGATGTATTTTAGTTTATTTTGTGTCCCTCAGCTCGCCCCAGAACCATTATTCTCTTGAGCTGGTGGTTCAGGATGTGCTCTGTGTGTGTGGGCACGTTAAGGCTCAAGGTGACAGAGCACAGCTCAGCTGAAAGTTCTTTAAGTGCCACTGGCTTTGTTTTGAGCACACTCGATGTCTAAATGGAACTCGCCTTCCACAACATTTAGAGCCCGGGGGAAGAGCAGAATGGATGGGCTCTGTAGTGTAGTTTGGTCTGTGTGTATTGTTAGGAGGTCATTTAATAAGATATATAATGTTTAGGTGGTGGCTGCCACACCTGGAAGTGCGAATTCTCGGCCTGACGGTGTCACGGAGAACATTTATATTAAAGGGGTTTTCTGAGCTAGCTCCTGGGTAGTGCTGACTTTAACAGCTCCTCCTGCCTTGTGCACAAAGACTTTAGGGCAAAATGTGTTTAATTTGTGACTATTCTGGGGTTTTTTTCTTCTGTAAGAAGGAGAATGGCAGGAGGACCTGCTTGTGGGGCTAAAACTCTTCCACAAGAGGACCTGCTGAGGGGAGAAGTCTCTGTGCTCCTGATATTGCTCAGCTGTTGTTGCCACCATGAGCACCGAGGATTAGAAATGCTTAGTGTTGTAAGACTGATTATTTTGGGTCAAATTTTGCCCTTGGCTCTGAGGAGGTCCTAAAACTCACAGGAGGAGCAGGGCCCCTCTCCTGCTTCACTACGGGAAGCCCCGGATGCTGGTGCTGAATTCCCCACCTGCCTCGATGACGATCAGAACAGCAAGGGATGATCTGTAGGTTGCCTTTTCCAAACAGATGGGGCACAGCAGTGCTCCTATCATGGCAGGGCTTCTGGGTGAGCCACAGTGTCACAGGATAAGGGAGGAGCAGATCTGCCAGGGTGGGATCAAGCTGCCTCAAGAACCTGCAGTCTCCACATGGCTTCGTGCCACAGTGGTAATTTGTAGGAATCGTTGCAAAGTTGAAAACTGGGTGATTTTTTTCAAGCCCCTTCACGTGTATTTTGTTTGTTTGTAGTATATATATTAATATTTCTCATGTGAGGGAGAATGATTTGGACTTTTGGCACCTAAAATTATGAACCAGCTCCGTGGAAGGGAGCATTTCTTGAAATTGGGTCTTACCCCACTCCTTCCCCCTGGACCCAGCTGAAAACTCCAGGGCCTGACACAGGAGGACCTAAAAATGGTTTAAAATGATGAAATGGAGACCTTGATTCTTTCTAGTAGTTGCTTGTTATGTTGGTATTCATTGGGTTTTTAGAATTGTTCCACCAAAATGCAGTAGGAATCCAAGTTAAAGTTCATTCATAATCATTAATTCATGGGATTAGTTAAATTCAGCTGCCCAGAGAAGCTGTGGCTGGCCCATCCCTGGAAGTGTCAAAGGCCAAGTTGGAAGAGCTTGGAGCAACCTGGGACAGTGGAAGGTGTCCCTCCCCATGGCAGGGGGTGGGACTGGATGAGCTTTATGGTCTCTTCTGACCCAAACCATCCTGGATTCTGTGATTTGTCAATGACTGAACTAGTTAAGAGGTTGTTTCTCTACTCCTTAGGTATCTTTAACTTTCCTCAAACTCTGTAAGATGGCATACTATGGAATGAAAGCTGTCCATGGAAGTTTTTAGATGTTCTTCATAGTGAGATTTTTGGAGCTGGTTTGAAACTCTCAGCAAAATACATGAGACATGGTGGGTCACTCTGGCAGCTTAAAAAGCCTGTTTGTTCATTTTCTAGGACCCAAATTTACTTCCAGCAATTCTGCAGGATGAATAAGGGATTTGAGAAGCAGGAGAATTGAACAAAAAAAACCTCAGGCACGGGGGTTCTTCTCAGATCCCAGCAAACTGTGCCTGATGTTTGTTGTTGTTAAATGGTGTTATCGGGCTGTTAATGACATCGGTTCTGGGATTATTTTTTAATGGCAGAATTAGTGTTGGAGCTCTGTGTGAATAGGGAACACGCCTGCCAGAACCTTTATTTTTTAACATGTGGTGACTTATAGTGAGATCTGATCCAGCTACAAATAAGACACGCTCATTTAAGCAAGTCCTAATTGGAGCAGCATTTCCCACCATGACAAGATTCCTGCTCCTGGTCCAAAGATGAGGATGCACTCGTTGGTAATGGAGTTCATCCTGCCACAGCCAGCAATAAAGGCAGGCTGCTGTTATTTGAGAGCTGAGAGTCATTTAATATTCCAGCACTCAACTGAGTTTGTCTCCAACTCCAGGAAAAGCTGCCTGGGAAGCGCTGAGCAGCGCAGATGATTCCCATTGGGAAGGACGCGCGCCGCTTGCTGCGCGTGCAGCCTTTCCAGAACACTCCTGCATGGAGGGGAGTGGAGTCAGGCTGGAAGCAGGAGCTGCTGCCTGGCTTGGAAGATGTCCTAGATGTTGAACTATCTTTCATGGTCATGGAGCCAGAGAATTTGCCACGAAACAAGATTGTGCTTCCCAAGCACGAGGTGCAGTTTCAGGAAATGGTGAAAAGTTTTTGTCTCGGAATCTGTTCCAGATGATCATTTGGAAATACAAACCACAGAGCCCCAGGAGCAGCTGGGGGGGCTCAGCCTGGAGAAAAGGAGGCTCAGGGGGGACCTTCTCACTCTCTAAAACTTCCTGACAGGAGGGGGGAGCAAGGAGGGGTCGGGCTCTGCTCCCGGGGAGCAAGGGACAGGAGGAGAGGGAACGGCCTCCAGCTGTGCCAGGGGAGGGTCAGGTTGGACATCAGGAAGAATTTCTTCCCAGGAAAGGTGATTAGACATTGGAAGGGGCTGCCCAGGGCAGTGGTGGAGTCCCCATTCCTGGAGGTGTTGGAAAAACATGTGGATGGGCACTTGAGAACAAGGTTTAGTGGTGAGTTGGCAGTTGGGAGTTGATGATCTTGAAGGTCCTTGCCATTCATTTTGGTTTCAAAGCTGCCATGGTTTGTCTCACTGCAGTGGTGATTTAGCTGTTGCTTTTGGTTTATTTGCTTTTAATTGTGTTGAATTAAGGAGAAAAAGGACTCAGTTTTTGTCTGTCAGTTTTAGGTAAGTTATTTGAATGTTTGGACAACGTTCTCAGGGGCAGGGGTGGGATTGTTGGGGTGTCCCATGCAGGGCCAGGAGTGGGACCCTGATCCTGATGGGTCCCTTCCAACTCAGGATATTCCATGATTCCATGACTGTATTATTCCAACTACATTAGAAGCTCGGGGAGGAAAGGCTTCCAAGAGCAAATCCCGTTTCTTACAAATAGGAGGCAGCATTGCAAAACCTGCCTGTTTTAACGAGTCAGGCAGAAATTGGGAAGGAAAATTAATTAGTTGTCCTCACAAATCCTTACCCTGATAGCTTCATGAGTAAGTAGAGAGAAGCTTTCCATGAGTTTCTTGAGCATTTCTGTTAAGTGCCCCCACAGAGATACTCGGTCTCACAAGACTGCAGTTTAATCTAGCTCAAGGACTTTCCAAACTCCACAAATCAAAGACCTCTTTTTTTTTTTCT